CCCCCGGCCCCGGGGGAAACCCACCCCCACCCCCCCCCAAATTTGTGGGGGTGGGCCCTTCCCAATTCCTTTTTTGGTCCCACCCCTTTTTTCACTAAATCCTCCAAATCGGCAAAAGGCCAGGGATTCTTCGATTATCGCTGGAGGCAGGGCAAAGGCGGCCCTGGGGGCCGCCTTTGCCCTGCCCCCCCGGCTCTTAGCCCCCCCCTGGGTTTCCGATCACTGTCAGTGCCAGGGGGCTTCTTCTGTGCTTTCCCTTTTGCCTTCCTGCATTGTGCCTACATATGCAAATTAACCGCCATCTTTGTTGACAGTTAACCGCCATCTTGGCTGGTGATTAATTTGCATATCTCGCTAATTAGCCAATGGGAAGGGTAGCGGTTGTACGCCAATTACCATGTTTCTCTTTTATTAGTGTAGATTGAGAAGTAGCAGAAATATAAAACCACCTAAATGCTTCACAGCAGGGTAAGAAAAGACAAAAATAAAAAAAGACTCAAAATCCACCAAAGTATGTGAAATGTAAAACAAAAAGAAACACACATAGCCATGGTTTTTGTGTTTGCAAAAGAAGAAGTCTGTTCTGTCATTTCTTCCCTGGTCTCTTAAAGAAATGACAGAAAATGGTGGGAGAGCAGACACCTTAAAAAAACATTTTTTTAAAAAATCTTCACCAGAGGGGAGATTATATATGTGTGTGTGTGTGTATGTGTGTGTGTGTATAATATATTTTGATTTTTTACAGAGAGGATGGGAGAGGGATAGAGAGTTAGAAACATCCGTGAGAGAGAAACATCGACCAGCTGCCTCCTGCACACCCCCTACTGGGGATATGCCCGCAACCAAGGTACATGCCCTTGACCGGAATTGAACCTGGGACTCTTCAGTCCACAGGCCGACGCTCTAGCCACTGAGCCAAACTGGTCAGGGCCTGAGGATATATTTTTAAATTGATTTGAGAGAGAGAGAGAGAAAGAGAGAAACATCAGTTGTTTGCTTCCTGTACATGCCCCAATGGGATCAAACCCACAACCTGTGTATGTTTCCTGGGAATCAAACCTGTGACCCTTCGGTGCCTGGGATGATGTTCCAACCAACTGAGCCACACCAGCCAGGGCAGACACTTTTTAAATATCTATATTAGAGGCCTGGTGCATGAATTCATGCATGGGTGGGTCCGGCTGGACTGCCCCGATGGGAGCCCATTGGGCTGGGCCGGTGGGGGGGAGGGGCCAAGGGTGGTTAGCTGGCCAGGGGGAAGGACCATGGGCAATTGGCCAGCCAGCCATGCCCCAGATCGGGGTGTTGGGGGCTGATCAGGGGCTGGGCTGGGCGGGGGTTGGGGGCAGCGATTGGGGCCAGATCAGGCTGGTTGGCTGCCACAGTGCACGTCATAGCCACTGGTCGTTCCAGTCATTCTGGTCATTCTGCTGTTCAGGTTGCTGGGCTTTTATATATATAGATATAGCAGGAGTTCTTAAAATAAAAGCTTCTTCATTGAATTATTAATACAACACAATAAAATTCTGCACCTATACATCCTTTCTACAGTTGATTAATGCTTAGAAACAAATCAAAGCAGGGTGTTTCCTGGTTGTGTCAAGTATATAGAAAGGTTCTAGAAGAGTGCTTTATTCCTGGCTCATCATTAAGCTGCTGCTTGTCCACCATCATTTCTATTGGAGGCTGTGGGTTTAACTCAGACTCACTGAAGCAGATTGGGCCTTACTTCAGAATCAAAGCAAATGCAAGATTTTTATTTTCTTACCTGCAAGAACTATTCCAGTATCACAAATTACACTCATAACTGTCTAAACCTCATAATTCCAAAATCCTACCACAATATCTGTTAAGGTCATGGAAGTCTGTCCAGCTTATTTGAGAAGAGAGGGCTTAAATCTATTAAAATGACTTTCGGGGGGGAGGGAGGGGGCGGGTTGCCTGTGTTTGTTTTACTCACTTATAAATTCCCTGTAGCAAGTGAGGCTTTGAAGAGTAGGTGGTTTTTCTTAGCTAGCTCCTGGAATCTGTTTTCCTCAAAACTTGTAACTGTAGTTCTCAGTTACTGAAGGGGTCCCTCATTTGTTTGGTTTGCAACCTGGGCACAAGGGACTTTAGAAACAAAAGGACCTGGTATGGTGGTCTTGTAAAAGAAAATGAGGAGATAGTATGTGGTCAGGAGTAACTCTCTTTTCCCCTGACATGCTAACATAATCTCTATTATAAAAACCTGTGGCCGTCAGGCTGTCACGCTGTAATGACCAAACACCAAAAGGCACCTGCTGAATGTCATATAATTTCTTCATGGGAACAAGTAAGTGTTGCTCTGTTCAATTCTCATCTTCCAATGAAGGTCAATTTAAGTGCTCCTGAGAAGGAAAGGTTAGGGCAGAAAACTATTCTTATCTCCGTCCACAACTGTCTTTAAGGTGGGTGGGGCTGCATGCATGGTGAGGCGTGCGTGAGTGGGCGGGGACTTGACGCTAGGTCCCGTGGCACGCCGGGTCTGGGTCTCACGTGATTTTGCGCGGTGGGCCTCTAGTTCTATATAATAAAAAGCTAATATGCAAATAGATCGAACAGCAGTACAACCAAACAACCGGTCACTATGACGTGCACTGACCACCAAGGGGCATGTGTGGAACATGGTGGAGCAGGTGAGTGGGGGCACCAGACCAAGGCAGGGCGCCCGTCGCTGTCATCAGGGTGAGCCTCTGATGGTTACTGAAAATTCTTTGCTCCAGCATGCTGTGGTCCGCCCGGCACTCACACCTGCTGCCAGCACTGGCCCTGCTTGCACCTGCTGCTGGCGCCGGAGCCACTGCTTGCACCCACTGCCAGTGCCGGCCCTGCTCATACCTGCAGCTGGCACTGGAGCCGCTGCTCGAACCTGTTGCTGGCACCCAGCACTGACCCCAATCGCTCGGCCCTGTCAGCGGGTGTAAGCGGCAGCTGCTGGCCCTGATTACACCTCAGGGCTTCTCCACTGACCCCTGCTCCTGAGGGGCTATCAGGGCAGCAGCCGCCGATTGCACCTGCTGCTGGCGCCGGCCCCAATAGCTCCATGCTGTCAGCAGGTGTGAGCAGGATGGGGGCCATCAGCGCATCAGAGCAGCGGCGGCGGGAGTGGGGCTACTGGCAGACAGGGAACCAGGGGCCGCAGCAGGAGGGGCCAGGTGGGGGCATGAAAGTGGGCCGAGACCCGTCCTTGTGCCCACCGCAGCCTCACGGAGCACAGCTCCTTTCAAGGTGCACGAATTTGTGCACTAGGCCCCTAGTAATAAATAATGAATATAATGATTTATACCATTTATAAGCACTTACTTTGCACTGGGCACTGTGCTGTTTCTCTCTCTCTCTCTCTCTCTTTCTCTCTCTTGGTACTGTTTCATTTATTTTTTCCTTTTTTGTGTCATTTAAACCACACTGCAACAGTGTAATATAGGTCAGCTAATTCCCACTCACAAATGAGGAAAGAAACTTAGATGAATTCTTCCAAGCTCACACAGTACATGGCATAGCCAGAGTTTGAAACCAGGTCTCTGTCACTTCAAAGTTCAATCTCTTCTCTTTTCACCCTTTACTTTTTCTCAGTTGGCAGCTATTCTGCCTCATGCACTGGATCTGAACAGTGAAAACAATAGACCAGAGGAATGAGGAAAAAATAAAAAACAGAAATAAGAGATGGTAGTGACAAATCAGAAAGTAACAAAAAATGCTGGATGTAGTTTTTAAAAGGTATTGTTCTTATTTTAAAAAAAAAAGAATAAGAAAAATGAATAGAGCAGAAGAAACACACCTCACAACATAATCCAGTGACATCACATTTCCCATAAAGCCCAGTTCTTAAAGCCAGCAGGGCCATGGCTAAACCGAGCCCCAGCTGCTTCCACTCATCCACTTGGGGGTTTGACAGCTTCCTCCCCTCAAGCCATTTATCGTGTTACAGGGAGGGAATACATTCAAGGCCCAGGATGCCCTCTGACATGACTGAGCAGGGAGGAGGCTTGTATTGGGTAGGGGTTGGGGATGCACTCATGGGCAAAGGTTTTTCTGCCATTTACATTGCTCTGAGTAGGGAGGAGGCTCGAATTAGGTAGGGGCTGGGGATGCACTCATGGGCAAAGGTTTTGCTCCCCTCAGATGCCCCTTTGAGGCGTGCTTTCTGGCTTATGCAGACTTTGGTCTATACACACACACACACACACACACACACACACACACACCCTCTGTGATTGGTCCCAGGGGAATCAGATATAAGAGGCCTTAGGGGCCTGCCAGGTCACAGTTCAGCAAATCTTAGGGGAAAGAATAGACAAAGGAGATAGAGGTTCTGGCCTAGATGCAGGAGTCCCCTTAGGGAGGAAAGAGTTTGCTCCATTCACACTTTAACACATGTAAAACATTTACATACATAACTTAGTTATATACCATAACGATGTCAATGTTGCTATTATTATTATCAGTTTGTGTGTTCAATCATTCCTTCACTATGTAATGTTGCTAGGTATGTATAGGTCCTCCTATGCTCATCATTGGTGCTTTGGGCTTGGCTGCTGGGGTGGGAATTGAGGGGAATGGGTAATGCTCCCTCTTTTCCTGCTCCTCCCTTGGAACAGAAAGGCAGTCCCCTCCTGCCTGGCTTTGCTGTTCTCCTAGGAGCCTATACCCAAGGCAGAATGACCCCCTGCATCCTCCTGAACACCCAGCACTGAAGAGACTGAAATGTCCTGTGAGTCCCTTGAGCGTCAGGGCCTTCCTGATGGGGTTTACTGATCTCTCATTGTTCTGAGAGCTGCCCCAAGAATGGGCTGTTTATAACTCTAGGGCACTCACACAGTGCCTGGTTCTCAGTAGACACTCAGGAAATGCTTGAAAAATGAAAATTATATACCTATACACATGACATGTATGTATATATGTGTACCTGCATATGTATACATATTATTTCTGGCATATTTCTTTCTATATGGTTATTGTAGTAGAATATCTTAGGCTTGCATAGTGTATGTGTGCCAGTGAGTACGAATAATCCTAATATATAAAAAGCCAGGGGCCGTCATGACTGAAACAACTGGACGGTGAGTACTAATAATCCTAATATATAAAAGCCAGGGGCCGTCATGACTGAAACAACCGGATGGACGACCAAACAGCAGGCTGTGTGGGGTGACTAGGCCAGCAGGGGGGTTAGAGGAACAGCCAAATGACTGAACAGCAGGCTGCGTGGGGTGACTAGGCTGGCAGGAAGGGCAGTTGCGGGAGAAAGTGCAGGCTGGGCTGAGGGGACCCCGGCCACATGAATTTCATGCACCGGGCCTCTAGTAATAATATAACAATACTAAAAATAGCCATCATTTATTGAGTGCTTTATATGCATTATTTCATGAAATTCTCATGACAACCCACTGGGATATTATTATCCCAGTTTTACCAAGATGAATCTGTGGCATAGAAAATTTAAATTCCTTGCCTATGATCACACAGCTAGCAGTGGCAGAGCTGGGACATGCAAGCATTGGAGACCAAGTCCAATACTCTTTCCATAACTAATTTGTAGAGTGAGTGATACATAGCCACATAGGAAGTCAGTATTTTCTTTTATGAAGACTTAAATTGGATTTATGTGCTGTTACCAATAAAAGCCAATATAAAACTCTGTGATGGTAAGCAGATTAACGATGAAAATTGGCACATACCTGATACGTGGAGTGGATCAATACTTTTGACTACCAATCTATCCAGTGGAATGGGCTGATCGAGTACCTTACACGAACCACCCTCTTTTATTACTGTTTGCAGCTCAGGAGTAAGTGAAGGACACAGTACACCTGTGTCCAAGCCTCCAACTTTCTGAAATTAATCGGGAAAATAATGCAGTGAAGAGGAAATGAGTATTGGTGCACATCCCTAAACTGATTTTAAGAAACAACTGCTTGAAATCCAGCTTACTACTCTTCCTGGATCTTGAAAAGCATTTCCCCAAAGTACACAGTGATTTACAGAATAGTGTTTCTGATACCCAAATTTAACTTCCTGAGTAGGTTATGTGTGACATCTACAATTGGGAAACATTTTCAGCACCATCACATCAATGGGAAAGCACTTCATTTCCAGTGTCTCTCTCTAGTATTGAGTGAGGTGGATGAGAAAGGGGAGCCTCATTTTGGCCAACTCTGTCCATGGGATCTAATACTAACTCTAAGTGGAGTCCACGCTCTATAATTTGTAGATAATTGAAATTATTTTGAATATATAAGGTGTTGAATTTTTTAAAGGGTGTCAAAGATTGTGATTTGCATGACATATGTTGTTAATTTAATTGCAAAGAGGGATTTAAAACACAACATTTCTTTCTTTCCCTCTTTTTTTTTCTAAGTGAAACCCAGTGTCTTCTCTGGTTGATTATCTGTGCACCTATGAAGTCAATAAAACTCTCCAGATTTATTAAACAGAGGAATTTAAGACACATAACATTCCTTATTTGGGGATTAAGTTATGAAGCATGAAATCAGAATATTACCTTATAGTAAATCAATATAGGCTGCCATGAGTTCATGTACTCAGATTTGAGTCATTATTTGATATGAAGGTAGGCTGTGCTTAGTGTCAAGGTGTTTGAAGGCCATAGAGATTTTTCAGAGCTTGACTTGTTCAGACATGGCTGTCTGGGAAACTTACAAGAGAAGGCCACCTAAGTTTCAAAACTGTGATTCTTAATATTCTCAAATATCCATTCCATCTTCAATGACCATTCAACTATTTACAGTTTGATCAATGGGTGTCTATTTTAGTGCTTAAAGATCCTTAAATTATTGAGCTTAACTAACCAACATATCATCTAGAAGCTTAGGTTCTTAAGAGATTTGAGATATCTAGTCTCATGATCTTATATGTGTGTAAGGCTAGTCCTTAGGTAAAGAAGTGGGTGAGCCCAGCCAGTGTGGCTCAGTGGTTGAGTGTAGACCCATGAACCAGGAGGTTATGGTTCGAAGTGGGTGAATTGGGTATCTCTGATGGCTGACAACTAAGGGCCAGTGTCTGAGTGCCTCAGAGGAAGTCCCCTTCATAATATCACTCATGCCATTCAGGGAACAGACTGGGAAATGGAAGATTAGATAGAAAGCCTTTTAGACCATGATACTCATGGCTTAATTAGTAACAACAATAATAGGGGCCATAATACTTAAGTAATGGGGGAAATCCCTGTTCTTGGAAGAGATTTAATGGATTTAACCCTGAGTTGGCTCATTTTGTCTGTGATGCTAGCTATATATTTGTCTGGCTTCTGCAGATGTCTGTATTATATACAGGAAGATACTGAGAGAGCAGGATTCCCTCCCACTTGCAGCCCCCAAATCACTATTTTCCAGGAAGGATGTGAGCTTTCGAATTAGAAGGGGTGATGGATACCACCTCGGCACATGGCAGCAGACAGTTTAGAGAGCACCCGCCCCCTGGCAGCGTTCACTGGGGACAATTTGGGTGAGGAAAGGGCCAGTACGGACAAAAGCTTTTGGGTTGCATTGGATCAGGCAGGCCAGGAATAGTCCTGTGGCCTCTGGGACTTACCCTAAAACTATATAGACTAAGTTATGCTAAAAATGTACACATCCTTAAGAAGTGTAACTTGCTTTTGTTATTGGTATGTTTAGTTCAGATCTGTCTGAAAATGCCGATATTGTGTAATGTTTCCATTTTTAGAGGGTGAATCCCAATTTGATGTATGAAAATATGTATTTTTAACACAACTTATTTGGAAGTATTTCTGAACATATTTAGCAGACTTATTGAGAAATAGCAGAATTTACCTTTTTGTTGCGCTTAGTTTTCGTAACTAAGAGGAAATCATCAAAGAGAAACAGATAAACATCTAGGAATCTGGTACTTTCTGGGGAGAGAAAGAAAATGAAACTGGGGTTGGAAATTGTAAGTAAAAGGATTTCTGTTATTTAAATCAAAGGATTCCTCAGGAAACAAATCGAGCAGGGCTTCCTGGCACAGCAGGCCAGCAGTTCAGGGCATCAGATCGCGTGGGTCAGAAACCGGCAAGGGTACTGAATCGATTGCTTCCTTAAAGCAGAGACGTGGCGTGAGCTCAAGCTCACAGCTTTAAAGACATTGTCTTTGTGATGCGTTTCACATGGATCTTAGAAAACTTGGATGATGATTGTAATTGTTTCAACGAAGCCTAAGACACATCTATCAGTTCATTAAACTTACAGCATTTTTGCCTCTTGACTCATCTGGGTGGTCATTGGCAAAGGTATGCATTACCCCCAGAAAGGGCATTTTGTCATTGCTGTGGACTAAATTGTGCCCCCTCCCCCAATTCATACTTTGAAGTCCTAACTCCCCAGTGTGGCTGTTTGGGGAATAAGGAAGTAATTAAGAATAAATGAGGGCTTGAGGGTGGAGCCCTAATCCAGATGGATTAGTGTCATAAGAGGAGAGACTAGAGAGAGAGCCATGTGGACCCTGAGCGGGAGCCCCCCCGGCAAGCTGGCAGAGCTTCACCAGAGAGCGAATGAGGCTGGCAACTCGCCCTTGGACTTTCAGCCTCTAGAACTGTGAGCAATAAATTTCTGTTGCTTAAACCACCCAGGGTATGGTATTTTGTTATGGTGGCCGAAGCTGACTAAGGCAATCATCTTACTTTTTTGCAAGATTTACATGTTCAAATATTCTTCACATAGTTTTATATTTACAAACGTTTTTGGTATAACTTTTGATAGTAACTTAAGGCAAGTAGGCTTTCCTACTTTTCTCTAGGAAGGGGCCAGTGGTAGAAGAGAAATCAAATATTAGAATAGGGTATCTCCTTCTCTAACTTTACCACATAGAAGTTAGCAGAAGAAATAGTTAACTTTAAGTGATTTCAGAGGAAAACACAGTCTGTCCAGAGGGGAATGTGACAGATACTTAAAGTAAATATTTTTAAAATCAGTAAATATTTTTCGTTATTCTATTTATTTTGTTCATTTATATTATTTAGAAGTTTTTTTTTCATATACTTTTATCCCTGAAAAATAGGGGGCTAAGATTAAATTAGTAGATAAAATACTTAGGTTTCATTTCTATTTCCTCCACTTCTTTAAGTTTGAAGGAAAGAAAGATTCTTTCCATATTTGCACAGAAAAGGAATTAGATCTTTTATTCAATCTTGAATTGTCCTTGAATATTTTTAAAACATTGTATTCCATCACTACTAGAGACTTTTTTTTTCAAATCAGCCTATAGCAAAAACTGCTGATTGTCCCTCAAAAAAACATTTCCCTTCTTTTGTAGTAATGAAATTTCTGAGTTTTAGTGGGTACATATTCCCTGCAAATAAATACTTCATCTCCCAGCTTCCCTTGAAGCTAAATATGACCAAGTGAGTAAATTCCGACCAATGGAATATGAGCAAAACTGTGCAACTTGTGAGTCATTCCCGTAAACAGCAGTGCTTTGCTCTCCTGCCCTTTCCCCCTTCCCACGGGCTAGCCACCCTGTGACTCCTCTGGGACCACACAGAAGAAAGCAGCACCCCGGGATGGCAGAGCAAAAAGGCAGAAGAAGCTTGGGTCCCAGTCACACCATGGAGGAGAGCTGTCACACGGCTCCGAGTTTTACACGTGAGAGAAGTAAACTTGTCTTTTTAAGTGATGTTATCTCTCTCTGTCTCCAATGCTGAACCAACATCTTAACCAATACAGACATGGCACCAGGAATGAGGCATTGGACAACATTAGACCTTAGGACCTGTTAAATGCTGTTTTCCCCATTCTGTGCCATTCATATATAGATTAGGTTGATGACTATTGTCAAAATGAAATAGTTTCTTTTTCTTGCTAATTTTAAGTATTTTATTTTAACAAACTAGCAGTGAGAATCTGCTATGTCCTGCAATATATTCTAGGAACTGATGATTATTTTAGTTATTTATTGAATCCCTCGTGTCCCACCAAGTAGTCATCTGATGCTGACGCCCTACCCTGCATCAATGACTAAGAAGACTCTGCCTCCAAGGAGCTTTAATCCTACGGAAAGCAGATACATAACAAACAGTAAACAAGATTTAAAATAAGATAAATTCAGAAACCGATAGTGCTAACAAGTAGACATGGTCAGGCAAAAGAGGATGGTAAAGGAGGAAGATTGTAAGCATAAAATCAGGCTGTTCACATTTATCACCAGGGAGTTTGAAGCTAGTACAGCCAGTGAAACACCTTGACCAAGTGATTTCATGAGACATGACTATTGAGCACTGTGAGTCTGAAAATCTGTTTAGCCAAGTGCTGCACAACCAGATCTGAACCGTCTTTATTTTTTCCCATAGAGTCTGGGCGGGGGTTCTCATCGCGCTGTTCCAGAACGGAGCTGCGTTACTGCCTTATTCCGAGCTGCAGCAGCTTGAACAGCACGTGTTCTCTGAGTGTCACAGCTGTCAGGCCAGCCTATGTGTCTGCACCTCACTCACTTTTCTATTTAGAAATGCCAATCTGTGTGGAGCAACGCATTTGCCAAGGGTATTCTGGCATGACTTCCCATGGGAAGTTGGTTATGCTTTAAGTTATAAAAACTTGTACTTTCTGGGAATGAGAAAATATACTTATTTGGTTAGACTAAAACAGTTTTTAAAGCTGAAATAAATTTGGAAACAAAATTTATGTGTTAGGTATCATCATTCTTGGTCTAATGCTTTATCCATTCAAAATGATGTCCCATTTCTTCAAACATTAGCACCCCCACCCCCACCACATCTCCACGCCAACTCTGGGTCAAAGTTCCCGTGACTTTAAACTTGATGCTGCCTCCTCTCTGATGCCATCCGAGCCACACAGCATATGGCTTTAAGCAAGTGTCTGGAGTTAGTGATGTTGATGAGGTTCATCTTCATTTACCACATCAGACTCTACAAGAAACTTTTTCTGAAAAGTTGGGTCTTTTTGTAAAGACTCCTTCTTAGGTCAGTCTCCCACCCGCACTTCCTTGACAAGCACCCGAAAGCTACGTGCGGATGCGCATCTACCATAGCTTTTCACCAGAGTTGGTCATTGTCATGTTCATCCAACTTCCATGTGGCTTCTCATCCTGCCCACACCTGAACCCTAACACTGCCTCCCTGATCCACTCCCTCTGCCTCCCTCAGTGTGGTCAACCTAACTTTCAGGCACGACACTTGAAAACATTGGCTCATTTCCTCTTCAGCCATTTTGCCAATCATAAAGTCCTCCTATTTTTGCCTTTGAAATATCTCTCACATTTATCCTTTTCTATCCAGGCCCATTTCTAACATTTTAGAACGTGCCAGCACATCTCACAGTGTTGGGAAGTTGGTAGATAGAGGGAAGGGGTGAATTAAAACTTCTGATAATTCCAGGTGGAGGCCAATTTTGGAGGGAGAGGCATACATTTGGACACAAAGCTGTGTTTTGCTTCATTATTTTGATTTGATTTTGTCACAATATATAAATGTTAAAATTATAAATAACATCAAAGAAAATGTAAAATTGTTATCTTTCCAAATGAAAGTGGGAGGGTGATGGTCTACCAGGTGGGGAACCTTATTTTCTGCAAACGACCATTTGCATATTTATAATTATTTGTGGCCATACAAAATTATCAACTTAAAAATTAGCGTGCTATATTTGGTCAAACATTTAATTAACTCACCCCCCTAATGCCTGGGCAGGGCCAGACCAAATGATTCGCAGGCCTTATGTGGCCCAAAGGCCAGACGCCCCCCACCCCTGGTAGAGGTTAAGAATGGTTGAGAAACACAGGCTCCGGGTCATCTCGCCTCACCCTGCTTCACGGTGGAGCTTCCGGGCTGGTCTCCCTGCTTTGGTCTCCTTCTCTGCACCATTTTGTGCATTGCTTCTGATGACTCTTTCTTCAGCACCTTTTAAGCCTGTCACTTGTCACTGGCAATTTCCTTCTGTTCGGCTCCCAAGCCAGGTGCTGCGATTCTGGAAGCCCACTGGGCTGAGGCAGCCTGCACTCTGCTGTTAACCTCCAGGTGACTTTGAACATGATACAGAACCTCCCTGAGCCTCATACTTCTCACCTATAATTTGGGATTAAGTATAACTTCTCTGCATAACCACTGGAAAGAGAAAATGAGTGCAAAAGTCCTTTGATGTAAAATGCCAGGCATGTCTACCATCCCTAGCTGGCAGTTGCTAGGTAGGGGTTCTGTTCCAACCTGACATGTAGAGCTAAAATAGAGCAGATTCTCAACAAATGTGTATTGAATACAGAGTTATGGCCTGGCACTCCCCACCAGATCTCATGCTACCATAAATAGGCAACCTCACATCCCACACAGGGCTTCTCACACAGTAGGTGCTCAATCAAGATTTTGTGCAGAAACAAATAAATGAATGCATACAAACCCTACTTTGGTCAGGCAGCCCTTTCTGATGAGAATATTTATTGAGCACTGATTCTGTGTCTACCATTTTTAGTGGTTGTGCATCCATTAGCTCATTTACAACAAAGGGGGGAGATTGCTGTATTCGGGCCAAGGTTACACAGGCAGAAAAGGCCGAGCTGGGAAGTGACCTGGCAGTCAGCCTGCAGGGCTCCCTCTCCTAACCACTCCACCAGCGCCTATTCTCCCAGGTGGCCTCGCCTCCAAGCCCTTTCTCCTGCCATGCTCTTCATCTGGGAGGTCCTCCCTCCTGTCCTTCCACTGACCTCCATCTTTCCGTCCCCCACAAGCCCACCTCTACTCCCACGGAGCACATAAAGCCCCTCCCGGGTACCCCAGCCCCACAGCCTCTCTTCTTTTCTGAACTTATCCTGCAGGTCTGCTCATTACAGCAGAGCTTCCCAACTAGAGGAAAAGGATTAAACGGAATAATGACCTTATATCCTCCAGTGATGCCTACCCAGCACAACAGTGTTACATAACAGGTTCTCCATCAACACGGATGGGATGATTGCCCAGCTCATTGGAGGAGTATAAGGATGATAACAGCTGATGTGGAGTGTTTATGATGTCCCCAACCTTGACTTAAGCTCTTCATGTGTTTCAATTTAACAACAACCTTATGAAAGAGTTATCCCATTTTAGAAATAGAAAATGCAGGGCGCATAGCTAGTTATGCTGTGAAGTCTTTGATCAAGCTGACACATGTGTGAGTCCATAGCATATTCTCTGACTCGCATCTTCCATGGCCTTGGCCATAGGCAAACACAACTCCTTACACTCTTCAATGAGCAACAACTGGACACGTTACATGGTAGCAAAGATGTTGGGTTTTTAAAGGAAACAGCTATTTACCTGCAAGAGTTAATTTTCCCTCATAGAGAAGGTGTCTGTTGGTTGGTGACAGGATGTTTTCTGCCATGTGCTCTTTAAAAATGTGTTTCAGGCACTTGAAAAACAAGAGAGACAATCAAAGAGAGGTTGTTAGTGGTTGGAAGAGAACAGGTTCCGGGAGCGGGGGCAGTGCACGCTGTCTATAAAGTTCAAGACATTTAGAAACGTCGGGAGATGGACACGGGAATGGGAAAGAATGAGCACATCCCTGAGGGGACCACCCCGGGAACGGCGTGATGGTGCCAGCCTCCCCCATACAATGCCACGTGGTAAAAAGCTGTAGTTCTTGCTCATAAAACTAGATTCAATATCCAAGTGGACAGCTGGGGACTTTGTAAAGACGAGTGTATTTCCAACGGAATGCCAAACATGAGTCTTAATGGATCCTCTTTGTACCTCTGGAATGAAAAACCTTTTATCTCTATCCCAAAGTGGAGGCCACACTATAATCTCCTGAAGATGTCTACATTTTTGAAAATTGTCAAGCCACTTCACTTTTCCTTCAAGATCCCCTGAAAGACAAGGCACATTCAATATATTTTTACACTCATGTAACATTACAGCATAAATTTTAACCAAGATGTACAGTAATAATTTAGAGACACTGCTCCCAGAACCAAACCATATCTTAGTTTCATTTAGCATAGTGCTTGCAGTTTAAATATCTTAGAAAAACTCACTAATTTGGAATCAGCCTCTTGCAAAGAGAAATAAAATTTAAATAATTTAATAAAGTAAGTTGAAATGTATTTGTGCATTTTTATTTAAATAATACAAGTAAAGTCCCTGGTAGCTTTCTCTTATTCCCTACACCACATAGCCTGTAATTAGAGGAAGAAAAAAAGAGCCAACATATATTTTTTGTCCTAATTATAAAACATACATTTCATGATAAAGATAATTATTTTGTTTTGGCAAAAGCTTATTTTTTTGAAGGTTTGTATTAATTTCCCAACACTGTATAATAACATTGTTATTGAGGTTTTGAAATTATTTGGGGGACAATGGGGGGAAAATCATAGACCCATAGTAGAATCACACCGTTAGGGGAATCCTTCAGAATTCACCCTCTTTAAGCTCATAGACTTAAAGGAAGGTCACAGCAATCTCTTTCCCAAATAATAAAAATCCATATATTATTGAGAAATCTGCAGAAAAGATGCTGTTATCTTCTTCACAAAGCTATTAAAATGAGTAATAATCTTCAAATTACTTTAAAAGTTTTAAAGTCTATTTTTAATTGAATTTTTGTTTTATCCAGTTGATAAGCTTAATCCTAGTTCCTTGAGTCATTTTAGAATTTGAGCAAAAAAATTAAAAAACTCCCATTGCATGGTCATTTTTACATTTAAACTTGCAGAAGAAAAAAATGTCATTTCTGTACAGCTGATAATCATAAACTTGAATTGCTCCCTTTTGACACTCCCAGGAAATCTTGGTTTGTGGGCATATATCATGAACTTCTTTATTTGAATTTAATTATACAGAGCTACCCAAATAAACTTAAGTCATCAAAGGGTTGTTCTGTTCCCATTCCCAAATTTCAGTTCTAAAGATTGCAGTTGGCATTATTTTTAGTTTGGCCCTGGATTTCAGTGACCTACAAATAATGAATGGTAATTTATCCTCCGGAAAGGCCCCCCGTGGTGTTTATTCCTATTTGCTTTGTGTTTGGGTTCAGCATAGATATGAAAAACAAAGCCTTCAACCATCTGGGAAGTGGAACTTTTCCTGCCTGAACTCACACGTGAAAGCCTTGGAGACAGCCACGTCCCGGGTAAACTTCTGGTGGAGTTCTCGTAGGGATGGCCAGGATGTGACTGGAACCATTGTTGTGTGTGTGTTTGATTTCCCAGAGCCATAACCTCAAGTCAACGGAACTACCTTCTAGGACAGTGATGGCGAACCTTCTGAGCTCAGCGTGTCAGCATTTTGAAAAACCCTAACTTAACTCTGGTGCGGTGTCACATAAAGAAATTTTTTGATATTTGCAACCATAGTAAAACAAAGATTTATATTTTTGATATTTATTTTATATATTTAAATGCCATTTAACAAAGAAAAATCAACCAAAAAAATGAGTTCGCGTGTCACCTCTGACACGCGTGTCATAGGTTCGCCATCACTGTTCTAGGATGAAACTCAGATCATTCCCAAGAGCCAGAGGGCCTCCAGCCCTTCATGCAACTTCCACTGAGCTGGGTCACTTATCTCAGGGACTTACGGATTGACTTTTCCACCTTTTCCTTGATGGAGTAGATCATGATTTTCTCAGTGGAGTCTGTACTCCTTTTCCAGATATTCTTCAGCAGCAAGGGGTACCGGGTCAGCCTGTGCAGTGGGGCCACCAGCAGCTCGGCCAGGTGAAGCCGCCTGCACTGTTCGTTTTGCTCACACCACTGGGGAAGGAAACGCAGACAGAATCAGAGCATCACTTCTCCTATCAAAGCCCCGAGAAGCCTGGGCATGAAACACAGTCAGCTATTTCACTGGGTGACAACGTGACGCAACTGTGAGCTTGCCGGGGACGCTTATAAGCCACAGACCAGATGTTGCTTTTGAAAATCCTTATTAAAGTGTCTTTAGCAAATTCAGGGTCTGAAATGAGGTTCTTAGATGTGGTTGAGAGGTGCTATTGAATATTACTGACTAACATTGTTACTTTCCAATCAAAGAAGAGAGAATCCTTCTCCGGCCATCTTGCCTTCCCAGTGACGGTGAAGAAGGCAGCGCTCAGCATCAATGTAACATCACCTCTCTCTCCTCCTAAGTGGGGAACTTGTCAAGATGGAGAGGCACGAGAAAAGTGTAACATTTCGCAAGTTCCCTGGAGAACACATGTTCCCTCTGTGGCAGGGATGAGAGGTATTAGCTATACGTGTTCCAGTCTCGTTTACCCTTCTCACCCAAGAGTTTGGCTGTCCCACTGGCTTCTCCTCTCTGGCCCTCGCAGGGGATTTCTGTTTTTTCCAGCTCTATGCCTCATTGTGAGGCACAATTAGGAGAACTGAGAATCAACAGATGGAGGGAAAAGGAAGGATGTTTGCTTGTTGGATCAGTTCCCTGACTCTCCTTTCTTAGAGGGAATGAGGGTAATATGAGAAAATGAATAGAAGTTGAAGAGGCTAAATTGAGCTACATGCTACAGAGGAGAGAGGGAGAGGGAAGGGATAAAGACACAAACCATTTTCAGTAGCGAGAGAGTCTGACTCAGAGGCAGCTGCAGGGTGTGCAAAGCACCGGGAAACAGGGAAAGGAACTCTGGTAAGTACTGCTGTGGTCTACACATTCGATTTCTATAAATGCAGCGGTTCTCAACCTGTGGGTCGCGACCCCTTTGGCGGTCGAACGACCCTTTCACAGGGGTCGCCTAAGACCATCCTGCATATCAGATATTTACATTACGATTCATAACAGTAGCAACATTACAGTTATGAAGTAGCAACGAAAATGATTTTATGGTTGGGTCACAACATGAGGAACTGTATTTAAAGGGCCAGAAGGTTGAGAACCACTGTATAAATGACATTTGACAAACGCAACTAATCATGAGAATGGCTCACAGATTTGTTTCATCTGCTGGGCTGTTTATTTGAATGTGATGCTGTCTTGAACCTGAGCAGCCTGGCTTTTGTGCAGATGACACACGACTCATGGAGTCTGGTCTCTGGCTACTGTGCACATAGGTCCACCAAAAGGTATTACTAGGGGATGCATGTTCTTCCTCTTCTATTGTCTCCCTTACACACTCACACCTGAGTTCAGCTCTGAGGGAGCCCTGCCCTGGCGCGAGGCTCTCAGCTTTCTCTGCAGGTCGGGCTCCAGCCAGGCCCAGGTTACCTCCTTTGTCTTGTGACTCAGACCCTGAAGGCCAGCTTTAGGCATACACTGTGGAAGGCTCCCTCTGCTTCCCCAAACATAGCTTCCTACATCTTTGTGCCCAGGTGTCTGCCCTTGCGTTTTAGAGATTTAGGTGCAATTGGCTCAACCCCCCACCAAGTCCAAAACTCTCTCTAGATATTTACAAATTTATGGAATGATTGCGATTAGAATGGCTTCCTCTGGCCCCTGCTGGCACACACACTCTCTTCCCTGAACAGCATGTGCCCACTGATGCCAAACATAGCCTCCTGGTTGGTGTCCTATGCTGGTTTCCACTGTAACCCCACTCATGCCAAACGTTTTATGAGTGAACATATTTACTGAAGACTTTGGGTTGTGGGGAGGGGTCAAATACACAGCCCAGGACATCACCCCCACTGCATTTTGATGGTGCCGTTTTCTTCTTTGGAAGGAGAGAGATGCTCTTCCTCTCTCTTCCCCTCTCCAACTACCCTCTTCCCCTACCCTCATGCTTAGCAATTTGCCCTTGTCTTTCATAGCTTGAACATGTCCTTGGGGGTTTCACCCTCTCCCACCAGGAACTTCATCAAAGTATTTCTTTTGAGAACATCCCGGATTCTTCCTCACGGGAATTCTGCTGGACATGATCTTCTCCATCCCTACATGCAGAAGGCAGGCCAGGAAAGTGAGCACAGGCTGGAGGCTGGAGGGTGGGTGGAGCTCATGAAGCCAGGCCTCAAGGCTTCCTGAGGGACCACCTCCCCTTCTCTGTACGTCAGCTTCCTCTTGGCGGAAGGAACTAGGTCACCTCCATGTTCTCACCTGGCTCACAACGGCTGGGATTCTTTCTCCCTGATGTTGGGAGAGATGGAGACGGAAGCAGGAACTGCAGATGTGGAAAGGCCCGCGGCGGTAATGGGTGGAAAGAAGGGGTGTGAAGAGGCCTTAGCCTGTGGTCTCAGTGGCTGGTCTCCATCCTGTCTCACTGGCAGCAGCACTCTAGCTCTGGTGTCTGGGAGCTCCAGTAACTGATTTCTCAGAAGCAGTTAGGTATTTCCTCAAACATAGCCCAGGGCCACTGCCCCAAATTTCCACGCCGTTGAAAACAGCTCTGGCTGCCAGCATCCTGAGTACATGTGAAAACACCCAATTTACCCCAGACACCAACCCGGCAAGAAGCACCAGTGGTAAATAATTGAGACGAAGATCCAGGCAGGAATTTTAGAAGCTTTTAGTGTTTCAGAAGCCTCAGAAGAGAGAAAAATACATTTGATAGTTCTAAAAGTAGGTATAAATTTTTCTTTCATCTATTGGCTTTAATTTTCAGATCCATTAGGGGGGAAAAAAGAACATCTCTGTCAAGAGAGATTGGACATAAAAGGCTTTTTATGGATAGGCCTAGATCAATGAAGGATGCTTTTGCTTTATAATAAATATCCAATATGTTTAAGGTAACAGTGAAAGGAATGCAGGGGCCCGTTGAGTTGAACCATATTACCTCTCTGAGTCTCAGGGACACATGGGGACACTTATAAATTCCTTCTCCTTGTAAATCTGTCCTGGTGAAATGCAATATTGTGCTGGGGCAGCCATTCTTAGAATTTTGGGTAATTTACTTAAACTCTATAAATCTCATCTGTGAATGTGGGTAACGAGGATAACTACCTCAGCAGGTGGTGAGAGGTTTTATTGAGAATCCATACAAAGCGCCCCAAACAGTGGCTGGCACATTCCGAACACTCAGTCCAAGGAGTTCTTAGCGGTTGTTAACAGAACTCCACGAAGAGCCCTGGTACAAAGTTCCAGTCTCTTTCTCTGCATCATTGTCATTGTTTCTGACAGAGAAGGGAGAATTCTACTCCCATCAATGTGCACCAACACACTGTACAGGCTTTCATAAAGCCAGCCCCACGTGGCAGGGAGGGTGAATTCATCCCAGTGCATGTCCCCATTCCAGGCAGCCCATAACACAACACAGGCTTAGGTTTTCCACGGACATTGTTTATGTCAGTGCATAGTAGGGAATGAAGGTCAGCTTCAGACACGTCTGAGTCAAATCCTGTCTCTGCCCTGAACAACCGTATAGTTGCCTAATTCGTCTAAGCCCTTGAGTAATGGGGTTACTATCACATTCCACAGGGTTACTGTGTACACTGGGGTGGGGATCGTCCGGACCACGGGCTGTATCATTTGCTCTGGCCCTGCCGAGGCAACCACAGGCAGGACTCAAAGTTCAATAAATCTAGGAGCTTTTTCATAGCAACGTAATTTTTAGTTGATAATTGTGGATGGCCCACAAATGATGTCATAAATATCTAAATGGCCCTTGGCAGAGAAAAGGTTCCCCGCCCCTGGTATAGACAAAGAGATCATGATGACCAGCAGTGGCTGGTCCAAGCAAGGGCTTGAGAACCAGCCCCCTTTATTATTATTTACTGTATATTGCAATTATTATATTATAAGCATTATATTTACTAGGCTATAGTTAAATTATTACTAACTCTCTGTGACGATGCTTTTGTTCTGTACTATGTGGCTGTGGAAGGCAGGTTCACCTTCAATTCCTCTACAGCCTCTTCCTGATCCTTCACCTGTTCCATAATGCTCACAGTTGCCAGGTGATGAGAAATAGCCCTGAGGAGCTATAAGTAATTTTGGTGGAAAGAGCATTTTTTTTTTTTTGCCTAAAAACCTTTATTTTTGCCACCTATTGGCCACATGACTTTGCAAAAACCATACAACCTCTCTGAGCCTCAGGGACACCTGGGGACAATGTAATCAACTTCAAAGTTTTGTGCCAAGGATTAAAAGAGATGTTTGAGAAACTAAAGATGCCGGTAAAGCGTTATGCGTTATAATTCTATGTTATCTTTGGATGCCGTGCATATTTCATATAAAGATGTAAACCACCTTTCTATGTCACATTGGTCTGGTATTTTCCACAGTTCCTGGGAAATGGTGGCTGCGCCTCGTTAAAGTAACCTCTGGCCTGGCTTGGAAGAGAGACATGGGACTGGCTTCTTCCCAGTTTGGGGGCCAGGCTGGGAGTCTAATCATCCGCTTCCAGGGAAAACTTCTGTAACAGGATTATTCGTACATCTGGAAAGCTAATGAGCTCTCCGTTCTTATTGAGTAGCCAAGAAAACACCGAATGAATGGTTGAAGCTACAAAAAATAAAGCCGAGTCTCTCCCCCAAGACTATCCTCCTTTCTCAGCCACGCTGCACCCAGGCCTCCTGGCATAGTCGGGCGACAGGTGAGTCCTGGCACCCGGGCAGCCCTTCCTCCCCGGCCTCTGAGGTGGTGCTCTGCCGGGGGCTTTTGCAACTGCCAGGAGAGCTAGTTTTCTGAAAAGGCTTGGACTATTTTCTCTGGATCATAAAAAGGGCTCTGGCGTAATACTGGAAAGGTGCAGTTCATACTAAAGAAATGTCAAAAGAGGGGTCAAAGGAACTGGTGAAGTCAAGGACCATTCTTTCCGTGTCAACTTATTAGCAAATGCTGACTGTCCTTAGCAGAAACTCTTTGCTCTGATGCTTTGGAGCCCATAGCCACCATGCTGTACAATTTCAGGGGCAACATCTACATTGTGCCCTATGAAGTACTCCAGGGGGCGCCCTTCGCACAGAATACAATGTAAATGCTTCTCCAAGCTTGTGTGCAACAGCATCTTGCTGGGACCAAATCCTACAAGAGCCCAACTTCTAGTCACAAAGCCTCTTCTTATTGTAGCTTTCTCCTTACAGTGTACCGACTTCGTTCACAAACACGCCAATGAACAAATAAAACATTGGTAAGTAAGCCCCTGCCAAAAATTTAGGAGGGACATGAGATGATACAATGTTTCCAGATGTGCACCACTTAGAATTCCTCAGTGTGCAGTGGAAGGTGTGTGTTGATGAGGAAAGCAGATTTGTAGTTCAAGTGTATTGTTGATCATTTATTGTTCTTCTTTCTCACTTATTTTGGGTATAACTCCTAGTACCTATTGTACCCCAAAGAGTCTCAGGAAAATTATAAAAGAAAAGAAGACGGTACTTTACTTTTAAGTAAATTCCAAAGTCCTCTCTCTGCTTCAGGCTCTCGAGGTAAAAGACAGCGGCGGAGTAGTTCAGGCAGTAGGTCTGGTGGCTCTGACAGAGGCTCCCTCGGAAATGCTGCAAGAGAAGAGCAGGGAGGGCACAGGCAGGAGGCCTCTTTCCCTTCATGGTCATCACTGACCGGCACGGGGAAAGGGGGAGGGGTCAGCATTGTCCAGCAGGAGTGTGACCGTGTGACTAGGAACAGGTTATCTTCACAATAAACATTCTTTAAAAATAGTATTTCCATAAGACACAGGTAACTCCTCAATAAATCACCCCCCCCTTCCTACTTAAAATTCTAGTTAGGGTGTCTTGATTTAATTTACCTTTTGCTTCTGTTTATGCTTTGTTGAGGTCTACACTCCCTGCACGGCACCTGGTAACAAATCCTGCCTTTGACTTCAGGGCTTATGTTGGTTGATGTTAGGCTTGTGTTGGTAGTAAGTAACAACATTTAATTTTCACCAACTTTTCCTCAAAAATGTCCATTCATGTAATTCTCCTGCTGGCTTCTAAAACTGTAGAGTCAAATCCGAGGGCCTCTCCTAAGTGTATATATAGATTTATGTAATGGTCAAACAGAGCACCCCTCACAAGGTGCCCTGTCTCAGTTACGTGTCTTTCTCGGGAGTGAGTTACTCTTTTCTCTTCACCAAAGCTTAACTGGCACCCACTCTCCTCGGTGTCTCAGTGTCTACCATGTTGCTAAGCCCGCATACTCCTTGATTTATTGATTGATGTAATGAGTAATGGGTCCCACTGAGAAATGTCTAATAGTGTCACATGCGGTAGAACAAGACAAGGAAGACACACTTGTTGGCAATGTTATCACTACATTTAGTCGAGAAAACAGATCCAGCCTAAAAAGTCACTAAAGGAAGTGGCAGCAATAAAGGCAGAGATAACGAAAACCGAGAAAAATATTTTGTTGTGAGACAGAGGAGAAGACACTGTGGGGAAAAAATGTCATGTTTTGGCTCCTGCAGGAAGTAATTTGAAGGATGATGTAAATTTATTTTTGGAGGTGGAGGGGGTTGGTAGCTTGGAGAGAAAGGGCACTGAGATGCTTGAGAAATTTTATTACTAGGAGGCAATGGTTAAGATCCTATGTGGTCAGGCTTAGAGACCCGGTTCTACAATTTATCAGCTATGTGACCGTGGCCAAATGATCTAACCGCTCAAGCCTTGGTTTCCTTTTCAGGGACTTGCTCACATGAGTCATGTGTGAATAACAAAATGCTCCAATCTCCCACCTGGTGAGCCTCTTACTGGTCATCTGCTTTCCCTTCCTGGGGAGGACGCTGGTACCCCCTCTGCTGAAGGTGAGCGTGGCCATGTGACTGAACTTGGCTGACAAAGTGTGAACAGACCTGCCATGTGTTGCTTCTGGCAGAACTTGAAGAGTCTGAGTGCTCTGCCCCAGTCTCCCCAGACCGGTAACGTTCCAGTGCTGCTCCCTCAGCATGGGTCCCAGAGACAGGACAGTGACAAGGTACAAGTAGGCACAGGGGAGAGAGGAACCAAGCTATTGAGATTTGGGGATGGTTACTCTGATACAACCACATCCAACCTGACTGGTAAAGCACCTTTTCAATTAAGGAAACACTTGTGTAACCCATCTTTGCACACCTGGAACAGGAAGCACTCATATGTGGGCTGAGTTATGGACCTTTAATAAAGCATATATTAACATCCCATGCTTAGGAGGCTAGAAGAGCACATACACTATGGTGGGATGTTTGCGTCCCTGTCTAATTAATATGTTAATCCTAACCCCCAAAGTGATGGTATTAGGAATGGGGCCTTCAGGAGATGATTAATTCACAAAGGGTAGCCTTCATGAGTCAGATTAATGTCCTTATAGAGTCTCCAGAGGCCTCCCTAGCCCCTTCTGCCGCCATGTAGGATGCAATGAGAAGTCTGTGACCGGAAGGGAATCCTCATCTAACCTCAGACTGCCCCCCTCCAAATAGTGTAAAATAAATGTGTTGTTTATAAACCACCCAGTCTGTAATATTTTGTTTTTGCCTGAGCAGACTAAGACAGCTTACATGTTTTAATGAGAAGTTGGCATTTCTCCAGACTATTTACTTAACATTAAATTTAAAAATTTTCCGAATCTAAATAAATTGAGGGAACCTAAGACTTTAGCTACTTCCCAACACTTCACATTCTTCCTCTTGTTTTCCAAAGTTTTTCTTATTCAAATCTCTTTTCTAAGTTCACTTGAGGATCTCCCTACTTTATACCTAGTTTTCTATGTGTTTTTGCCTTGTTAACACACTCCTCCTCCCGCATGTCTCACCTCAAACATCTCTGCCCCAGGAAGAATTTCCTGTCTGAAACCTCCCCAGCCACTGCCATAGCCAGGAAGCTTTCCTTGGTAATATCTATGTTCCTGTTTGCCTCAGCATTGACCTCCATTTGATTATATAATTATTACTGTACTGCTTGAATTAAGCTCTCCCCCACTAGATTGAAAACGAGCAGGAGTGTGCCTGGTTTTGCACATTTTTTGAAGAGGGTCTTGGCCCCACACATAGCCTTTAGTAAATGCTCAATAAATCTCAATCCAGCTTTTTAAAGTGGATTGTATGAAGTCAAATCTTGCTAAATGTGAATAGATAGAAACTGGACTAAAAAGCTCAAAGTAAAAAAAAAGAGTAGGGAGGAGGCTCAAATATCTACTCAAGAAATAAATAGCATTTAACAAACCAGGGCTACAGGTTTTCCTCTTCTTTCAAACCAGAGGTACTATTAAGGGTGCTGTTAGGTTTGAAGGGCTATTTATTTATTTATTTATTTTTGTCTGAAAGGCTGACACTTTTGTTAGAAGAACAACTGAACCATGTAATTGGCCTACACAAGCCATTACCATGAATATTGCTTTAAATTGAAGTCATTTAAAAGACAGACTTGGAAATGGCTTTTCCATGTGTGCGCATTTCTGTGTTAATAAAACCCACATGGCAGAGGTGACAATGGGAAAACAGAGTCTGCAAGTTATTTTTGAAAACGTCTGTTGGCAGAGAGAAAAGGATGGTTCCTTTGTAGGAACAACAAAAACAAAAAGTCAAGTAGATATGAACAGCTATCCTGAGAGAGGGTGAGTTTATTGCATGAGTCTGAGGTCTCCCAAAAGGATTTTACCTTCGCGAGCACGGAAATGAAATCCATGGGTGGTGAAGTCTCAGAGGCATCGAAGTAGTCCTTGATGATGGCAAAAAGACTGCTCACAAAACCATAGCTTGTCTAGGGCCAGAGAGAAAGGAAACAAGAGTAGGCACACACCCAAGGGAAGGAATAAATATTTGATGAACTTCAAATATCATTCTACAGCTGTTTCTCATTACAATTTACCTCCTGGCAAAATTCAGATTTATTTTCCTTACAATATGTATTTTCTTATAAGTTTTTTTTATATAAATAAATTCTTTTTGGAATCTCTCTTCTCTTCCTTTTGGAGGAAAGATGTTATTGACTTATATACTAGAGGCCCGGTGCACGAAATTAGTGCAAGAGTAGGCCTTCCTTCCCCTGGCTGCCTGCACCAGCTTCGTCCAGAAGGACGACCAGAATGACATCCGGTCTAATTAGCATATTGTCCTTTTATTATTATAGATGAGAAAAGGACATTCATTTGAGAACAAACATTTATGAAGGTTAAGGAGATCTTGAGAATATGTTTACTTTCTTAAACAGCCAAGTTAAAATGAAAAATGCTACTGAAGGCTGATATATGTGATCTATTGGCAAGATATCAATGAATGTTTAGATTTCCTTCTTATTAACCTGACCTCCTGACCATAATATTATATGGGGGAACGAACCACGTTCTGTATTGTAGCGTGGAATACAAGCCACAAGAATAGAACAAACATGCATTTTCATGACCCCTCTGGTGAATTTCAAAACATGTCTCTTGGTGTCTTTCTACTTTGGCTCACCTGACTTAACTCCTCCAGGTTTGCAAAAAGGCGCCATGAATCCACATCCAGGAGATATTCATGGGTTTGTAGATATTTTAGCGTATTCATGAAGATCTTTAAAAAAAGAAGAAATGCAGATTACTTTCTGTTTTTCAGTTTTGAAACTTGCCCTTTTCAAGAGCATTGAACATAAACCTCCTGACTACAAAACAGTTTAGAAATCAGTATTTTTGAGGTTTCTGAATTTTCCTAAATACCAATGGTGACATTTAAGCTCCATGGAACATGTGGGAACTGTGCTCTTCTGCATGATGGTGTTGTTGCTGATATGCGCCCTGACAACATTCCTGTCGAACATCATCTGTTCTAATGGGCTTTCTCTGCCTCCCGGAGTCAAGAAGTCTCACCGGTTCTCTTCTTATCAAGAGCACTAATGTGAGACCAAAACAACTTCCACGCTGGATTCTTATTTATACCTTCCTCTGCAAAAGATCCAAATGCCTTTTACTTGCAGGAAATGAAAAAAAGAGAACTAATGAGTCAATATCTGTAGCTGGTAGGATGCTTGCATTTGGATAAAGGCATTAACTATGACTGAAAGCGTTCAGGGAGCCTCTGCGCTATTGTTTCTTGACTTGATGCTTTCATCCGGCAGGAGGCTACTCTACAGCAAGTCAAGGAAGAACTACAAGCTTCACAGATAATCTTCCCTGCGTCTATAAACTAAACAAAGATCAACTTATTGACAGAAGAATGCTTTGCAGAAAATAATGACTGACATTTGTATGTCACTTGGTAGATTTCAAAGAAAACTAATCTGATGATCACAACGCTGAGATGCCATGAGACAGCCAGAGATGGTATTGCCATCCTTCTTTTAGAGCTTAGGAAAGGGATTGTCAAATGACAGCCTGCGGGGTAGATCAGGCCTGCTACCTGCTTCCATAAATAATGTTGATTACAACCCAGCTATCACATTCCTTTATAAATTACCCGTAGCTTCCTCGGAACTGCAAAGGAAGAGCTGAGGAGTTGTAATAAAGACCTCAGAGTCTGCAAAGCCCAACATACAGGGTGAGGCAACAGCAGGTTTACGGTTGTGAGTATGCGAAACACTGGGTTTATTCTTGTATTATTATTATTAACTATTGTATTATTTTCCAGACAAACAACTGTAAACTACGTTTGCTCCACCTCGTATTTACTATCGGGACCTTCACAGGAAGTGTTTGCCAACCTCTGATTTAGGAAATGGAGGACTGGACTTTTCTAGGGTCACATGACAAGTCAGAAACAGATCCAGGACTTGCACTTAGTTCTCCCTAAGTGCTCTTCACACAGTGCTTTTTCCTGTGCAAGATAGTAGGCAGGATTCTTAAGTATTTACGGGCGGAGTCAAGCTGGGGAGCACTATGGCTCTTCCTCCCCGTGATCTTGGAAGGCAATGGCTCCCTTGCCATCCTTGTCCTGTGGTTCTTCTATGAGGATTCTTTGCTCAGAACCTCACCAGATCTGGCTGCAGCACGGCACTCCCTCAGGGACACCATTTACCTGGTAGACATTACGAATATACCATGTCATGCAGCCCCACTGCATTACATGTGGGTGGCTGCCTGGGAATCTGTGACGGTGGCCCTGCAGCTGATAAAACACATGCTCCCAGCACTGCTCAGCGGGAGCAAGTGCTCAGAAAGTGGAAGCTGATCAGTGGTGGTGGTGGTGGTGGGGGGGTGTTCCTGCAGGGTGGATCTGTGCTCCCTGACTGGAGAGGCGTGTAAGCAAGTGTAAGCACATGGTGAGAATAGGTAGAGGCAAGTCAGACATCAGATGGGCAGCTGGAATAGTTTACTTAGAAGACCTCCTCCAATCTTGGCAGACTATGTTCAAGAAAAGAATGAAGAGACAGCCAAGTAGTAGATAAACAGTAGACACATTTTTTAAAGATCTCCTAAAAGAGGGGACCTCCACCCCAACTTCCTGTTTTCCATGTGGAAGAGGAAAACAAATTCCCCCCAAATCAAAATAATATTTTCCATCTATTGCAAAAAGCGATCCCAGCATTACCATCTTAAGAACTAATAAATGGTCCAAGAAATAAGTGCATTCGCTCGCGAAAAGTTCCCACACGGCCTCTTGCTGCTTTCTCAAGTCTACTTGATCAGTAGGAAGTTTCCGATGTGTTGCCATGACTTCATTCCAGGTCTTACCCTGCGCATGGGAGGAAAGAAGGAACAAAACATTTCCACCTTGACCTGCTCTCCATTAGCTCTGAGCTGCGCTAAGTACGGCAAGAACACGCACTCATGCCCGAAACCCTGGTTTCCTGCGCAGGCCCCGGCATGCCTGTCGGCAGTGGCTCCTCCAGCTGCCCAAACCACAGTTCTCGCTGTGTGGCTTTGGGATGCATGACATACGTTATTTTTAGCTTCAATAAGAAGGAATTCACATTGATGTTGTTTTGCATTATGCTTGAGAATTTCATGAGCCTTTTTCAGTTTATTGCAAAAAAACACCTCAAAGAACCCCAAACTCAGAACTGGGAGGTCTGGTCCAGGCTTCCCTGCTAAAGCTTATTGAAATTAACTACATGAAATGAGAATTTTAAAGTTTATAACGACCTTTAGAAATGGTCAGCTCAACAACAAGCTATTTTTTAAACGAGGAAATTGAGGCCCTGAGGCGAATGAGTAACCACTGTGAACATGTGGACAGGCCTCTGGCACCCATGGTTTTTGTTAAGATGAAATGACCTTCCTGAGGTTTCCGTGGGCATTAGAGAGAACAGACCCAATTCAGCCCAGCTCTGGGCTCCTCTCCTGTACTTCATTGTTATACGAACAAAGACAACAAAATAGTGACTAAACCAAGGGAAAAAGCCATGTCCCTCAGGAAGCAGCTTGTGAGATACCTTAAGGCTGTGGAATTCGTAGCCCCCGAAGTCTGTAATCTTCACAGAGGAGAGGCGCTGTTCCAGATCAGATATGTGCTTGTGCTTGTCTTTGCCCTGCTTAAGGATGGTTAGAAACAGGATTTTCAAACAGGAATTCTTCAACGACATGACTTCGGTAGCATCTTCCATACGTTCATTGTTTAACATGCACGAGAAGAGACTGTACCTTTTGTCTATAAGCCACTATCAGTTGCAAAGCCATTTCCCAGCCCTAGTCTGACTCACAGGACCACGGAATGTCCCATCTGGAGGACAGAGGCTGGTGAGGATGTCTGATCCAAACCTTTCATTTTACTAATAAAAAAATAATCCAAGGCTTGGAATAGTTATATAGTAAATAGATGAACTCCGGGTCTCACACCCACCCTGTGGGGTGATGTAATGTTTTTCACAGTTCTAACTTTTCCAAACCCGGGATTATGGGACTTTAGCATCAGAAGGTTACTCGGAGGCTTTAGTTCACCCCTCAGTTAGCAGATGACTGGGCAAAGCCCAGAGTGTTGAAGGAACTGCCCAACATGATAATTCTCTGCTGAAGAATATTAGGATATGATAGAAACTAGTCTCTTTAGGATGAAACAACCCACTTATTTGTTGTTTTTATTTTTTAAAAATATTAGTTTTAAAAAATCTGATTACAAAGGTAATAATTTGAGAAACAAAGAAAAACACAAAGAAAATCTAAGTTACCTATAATCTTCACCCCCAGATAACCACTGAAAACCTTTTTCTGATTGTAATTATGATTAATTTTGAATGGTATCATATTTGGACATCCTTTCATAACTTGCTTTCTAAACTTAATAGATTGTGACTTTTTTTTTGACTTGTTCCCTACTCTGTTGCAAGATCATAAATTATCCACTTAAAAAAATTCATTTTACGGCCCATAACAGGGAGAAGCTTTCAAAAGAAGTGCAAGGCTTCCTAAAGGAAACTTGGCTGCATTTGAAATGAATGTTTATCACAAATAATTTTTAAACTTGTTCTATTGTCTCCAGGTCATGATGCTTTATGTTAATGAGCAGGAGAACACAGGGGTTATCTGTTAGGCGGCTCCCTGTGTGTCTGAAAGGAGACCCTGTAGTTTCAGAACGTGCTGACCGGCTGTGGCTGGTTTCTCTGGTACGGTTATGGTGCTGAAAGAGAAAATCTATTAGATTTTTTTTTCCACATTAGTTTCAACAGTAGCAAAGAAATCTTGGAGCGGGTTGGGGACCGCCTACAGCAACTGGGACATATGCCTTTTGGTGATGTCTGAAACCATAGCGACTGCATGTTGTGGAAATAAAAAAGCAGCCGCCTGTTGGGAAAGAAAGAGGCTGAGACAGTGGGAGCAGCATCGGAGCTGTGGGAAGGTGGGCACCAGCCTCTCGTGAGGGCACTCGCTGTGGCTTTCCATGGATCCGACCAGCCTCCTGACCAAATGCTTGGTGGATACCAGTGAGAAGGGAGGGGACAGTCCTCCCAGAGGCCACATTAGCTCTGTAGAGTAGCAGACATCTGGTGGCATTGGCAAGGAGAGGTCATGAGAAGAGTCTGAAGGGCATTTGAGAGGATACAGAACATGAAGAGAAAGAACCAAGAGTCCCAAATTCTAGAGTCCCAAAGTTAATAACTAAGAGCTGGCTGGAATGAAAATTTGCAGTAGGAACTGAGGATGTGGACCTGGAGCAAAATAAATATATGTGATATTTGAGCGTGAATATACACATTTCAGTGGTTGACAAAGAGATGGCATTGAATCTGTGAGAACAGGCAAGATCCATGAGAGCTCTGATGAGAGAGGAGGCAGGAGTGTCCAGGTCTGGTTATGGAGCCACACATTTGCAGACAATTCAATGTTGGGGCTGAAACAGACTCAGAGCCGGAGGGTCTGGGACTCCTGGGGACCAATCCCCACTGTGCTGCTTGTAAGCTGTGTGACCCCAGGCAAGCTCTTCAACCTCTCTGAACCTCAGTTTCTCCATTTGCAAAATGGGGATAATAATGTCACTTGCTTTGTTGGGCTGTTGTGAGAATTAATGAGTTGACATATATAAACTATGACATACATAAATAGGAACACACATAAACGGTAACGGTGCCTGATAACATAAACATATCTGTGTTTGCTTTTATTACTAATATTCATTTGAAAAGAAGGAGAGAAGAAAGGAAGGTAAGAAAAGAGAAAATGTGTAATATATTAAGAAAATACATTATAATGTAGCAGTGTGTTTATTATATTTATGTGGATTAGCATTTATATAGCTATGAATTACGTGATAAATAAGACTAAAAGAATGAAGGAGCAAGTAGAAATATTAATTTAAAGGAGACCAGATACTAGGTCCTTATGAAAGTGAGCCTTTGAGATATGAATTTCCCTTCATTATGAGAACATTTGCTGAAACATTTCACCATCCCCCTAATTATTCTGTCTGTGTATCTCCACCACTGCCTACCCACCTCCAACATTGTGCATGCCATTATCACACTTTCCTCCTCACTGTACATGGCAGTCTGACCTTCCTAATGAGGAGCTGATAATGGGCCCCTCAGCATCCTAGAAATCTAACCCAGTGTTTGACACATACAGCCACCAACAAATCACGTCTTTCTGGAGAAAAAGACATTGGTTACAACTTGTAAGAGCATCCCTTCCTCAGGTACGCCCTCCCTTCTGGGAGCACATCCTACCTCCCAGGCAGCCCTTAGAGCACTTTCCATGGAGGAAGGTGGGCACCTTCCTTCTTAGCTTCAGGAGAGCTTGTGGGAGATTCCCCTTCTCCTGAGACCCCAGACCTGACTGGTAGCTGGCCCTGCCTCCATTTAAATGAGAAGGAGGCCAGGAAAGCTTATACCATAGGCCCTGCCTCAGACCTGCCAGGAAAACAGTCAAATCAGGTCCCTAAAGAGGGGCACAACGGGGATGAACAGGAGAAACATCTTTAGTGACAATGGTGTAAAACTTTACTAGCTCATAATGTTGAGACTGTCCCTATGGCTGGTTGTTTCTGTCCCTCCCCTCAAGTCATCTGTGAAAGCCCTAATCCCCCAGTGTGATGGTATTTGGAGATAGGACCTTTGGGAAGTAACTCGGTGTGGATGAGGTCATGTAGGGCTTATAACGACACTAACCCCATTCATGAAGTTAGTGAGGAGGCACTGGAGCTCTATCTCCATTATGTGAGGACACAGTGAGAAGACACCTGCCTATAAGCTACGAAGAGAGTTCTCCCCCAAACCTCTGACCATGCTGGCCCCTTGATCTTGGGCTTCCCAGTCTCCAGAACTGTGATAAGTAATCATGGTTGCTTAAGCCACCCAGCCTGTGGTATTTTGTTACAGCTCCAGAGTTGACTGAGACATTCATACAGATGTTTGATGCTTGGAAAAATAATGTGAAAGTCAGTCATATTCTTGCTTATGAGAACAAGTAGTTTTCTAAACCCCCAATTACAAATGACACTACCAATATTATGGCCAATATTGATTGAGTGTTTAAGACCTGCTCAGCTCTGGGATAAGCCCACATGCATTATTTGATTTGCTCATCACAACCCTGGAGGCTGGCGCAATCACCATCGAGCTTTCATAGGGAGGCACCTGAAGCTGAAGGAGATTGATTCACTTGGCCAAGGTCACAGAATAGTAAGTGGAGCAGCTGGGATTGGAACCTCAGAGAGCTTTGAATTTAGCTACGGTACTTCAAGATGGTATTGCAACGGGTACTGTTGTTAGAACAGAATCAGTCCTTCCCCGCCCTACAAAAACAGGAGTGAGGAGCGAGGTGGTAGTCAGGAATGCCCCTTCCCTCTACCCCGAACATGCCTGGAGGAAAGTCTGTACTCTGGCCAGCCCTCGTCGTAGGCAGTGAAGATTCAGGGACCACTGATGTAGATTTATGACTCTTTCATAATTGATGGTACCAAGAATGAATTAAAAAACACATACACCAGGACTAATCCAACCGGCTTTCCCAGAAATAGAAGTGTACCTGTGGAGTCTGTTTCTGTAATAGCTCATTCATTTTTCAATGTTCCCGATAAGCACAGCACTGACTGCAAACTGGGGCATACATACCCTGTGCAAATTGACTTTATCGAGTGAGCTGCTTCCGAAGCCACATCGAGTTATATATTTAGAGTTGGAAAGCATCTCAGTATTAGGATTGCTTTGTGTTTTTGCAGAGCTTGCTAACCACTGGCAATTAGCACTGTTGTGCTGCGCAAAATGGCCTGATTTGGCATGTTCCTTAGCCGCTACTACAGATGTGATGATATAATTTAAACTTCATGTGCCGTGTGCAAAGATAGAGGGGGGCTCTTCAGCCCCTTCTTACTTTCTTAGCTACAGGAGACTTAATTAAAACGACAACACATAGCACTCACCGCTCCTCTCCTGGAGAAAGGCCACCGTGGCTTTTTGGATTCTGGTGGGTGAAATGAAAGAAAACATATTAGAACTTTGAGTAGCTAGTGACAGAGCATTGCAGTGCTTGACAAGACCTGCTTTTCCAAAGAGTCAGATGGAATTCATCCTGCTCTAATTCTCCTTCCCTTGAGAATGCCCAGAATGAATATAAATATTTATGCAGACAGTGAAGGAAGTGGTATTGCAACCTAAAAGTTGGTATTCCTTTGCTACCTGAAGGTAATATTGTCCTATTTCTTTAGTAGACTATTTTTCAGCCTCCTTTTCTTGATCACTCAGGGGGAAAATCTATGAAATGTCATAAAGATGTTGAATAATATATTTAAGATGGAGAGTCATAGAACGTTGGGCCTGAAAGGACATTTTTTACACTGTTCTACCAGAAACTCTCCCAGACCAAACTTGAGTCTTGATGACTACATCACCTGACAATCCCAGGTGTGGTTGAACTCAGACTCCCGAAATAGGGGAACACCAGCACATCACCAGTCTCTATGTTGGGGTTTATTGTTGCTATTAGCCACCATCCAAGTAGTCCTGAGGAGCTGCTTTGAGTTGAGAAGGACATCACTGTTCAATAACACACTTTTTTTTATGACCATCAGGAAGTAAAGTGATGAGATTTGGACTCCTGATTTTCATGTTATTTGCATCAATTTGTAATGTTACCAAGAAAAAGCTGGGAATCGTCTCTTAGGATTAGGTGAGGTGTTCTGATGACTCAGTACAACAAACTAGATGTCTTATAGGTCTGTCTCTCTCTCTGTTCCATTCGTCAGGGAGCCCTGCATAGTACTTCAATCAGATGGAGGCAATTACGGAACGGCATTTACTACAAAGGGTGTGCTCAAGGGGCTTTTCCTATTGGAACCCTGGAAGACACCTGTCCAACCAATGATCTTGCTCACTCTGACCACCTTATTAATCTTTTAAAAGGAGAGCTTGGGTGGAATCTCCTTTAGGGACAAATCGGCTTTACCATTCTTATCCCTCAAATGCCTGGTGGTAAATATGTCCAATTTGAACTGCAATTGGGGTATCGGTTTTTAACAAATGTCTCTCTGTTTTTTCTAGCTTTGAGGGTAATTTCAGGGCCTTGGAAAAGGATCACAAATATTCAGAAGATGTAAATGGGTCTTTTCTGCATCCTCAATCATTTATTATCTGTATTAAACGTTAAGGTTTGCTGACTCAGCTATTTCACCAGTGACTCACATGTACCTCGAAGCTTGAGCAGCACTGCATTAGACCATGATTTGGGGACACAAGAGCTCTATTCTAAACTCCTTGGGAAGAGGACGTGGAGGCAGAAGGTGGAGAACGTTGCATAACTTTTACTATGTGGTTTCTGCTGCGATGCTAGGCACACAACAAAGAACAACTAGTTCCTTTAGAAACATCATGTGCTAGTTACGTCTTGTTTCTTAGCATGGCAGTTTTCAAACTTTAGGTGGCATCAGAATCATCTGGAGGGCTTGTTAAAAAATAAATATGTAGTGTTTGTTGAGAGAAATTATGGCTATCTATCCCCCACCCAACTCCCCTGCACTACATATGAGTTTCAAATTTTATTATTGCAATAAAAGTGCTTTATGCTGGAAAAAAAAATAATGTCCAGCTAGCGTGGCTCAGTGTTTGAGCATCGACCTGTGAACCAGGAGGTCACGGCTCGATTCCTGGTCAGGGCACATGCCTAGGTTGCGGACTCAACCCCTAGTAAGGGGAGTGCAGGAGGCAGCTCATCAATGATTCTCTCCCATCATTGATGTTTCTCTCTCTCCCTCTCCCTTTCTCTCTGAAATCAATTAAAAAATATATCAAACAAACAAACCCACAAATAACTATTTGACTTTGGGTAGTGAGCACATGGTGCAATATACAGACCCTGTAACATAGAACCCACACCTGAAACCTATATGTTCATGTTGACCAATGTCACCCCAATAAATTTAATAAAAAAATAAAATAACAACAGATACCTGGGCTGGCTCTGCCCCCAGAATTTCTAATTCAGAAGGTCTGGAGCAGGGTCCCTGCCCACGTGTCTGACAATTTCCCAGGTGATGCTGAAGCTGCTGGTCTGGGGCCGGCCTTCGGGAAACACTGCTTTCGTTGCTCACCAGCTTAGGGCATGTGCAAAGTCTCATGGACCAAGTACTAACCTCTGTTAAGGTTATGCTGTGTTTAGAGCTAGCTCTAGTCTCTAGGGGCCTGTCCGTGAGTAGGTCACTTAATCCCTCTCGGTTTGCGCATTCGGGTGGTTGTATCACAGGAGACAGCAGGCGTTTATTTGGATGGCTGTGTCTTACAAGACTTTAGATGTGAGAGGGAGCTATAAAGTGTGAAGATCTATACAAATGTCAGGCATGATTTATTTACTGGTGGCTTCTGGGTTCCATCTAATAGGTGGCTGATGCAGGCTGGCAGGGAGCACGCAGGACTAGCAGCCAGGAGCCTGGACTCCATTCCTCTACACCAGTGGTTCTCAACCTTCCTAATGCCGCGGCCCTTTAATACAGTTCCTCATGTTGTGGTGACCCCCAACCATAAAATTATTTTCGTTGCTACTTCATAACTATAATTTTGCTACTGTTATGAATTGTAATGTAAATATCTGAGATGCAGGATGTATTTTCATTGTTACAAATTGAACATAATTAAAGCATAGTGACTAATCACAAAAACAATACGTAATTATATATGTGTTTTCCTATGGCCTTAGGCGACCCCTGTGAAAGGGTCGTTCGACCCCCGAAGGGGTCGCGACCCACAGATTGAGAACCGCTGCTCTACACAAACCAGCTGGCACCTCAGCTGGGTCAGGTCAGGGCTCCTTTCTGGGTCTCACTTGGCACATATGTGAATGCGGATAAGCTAGTTTCCTAGTTGCAGGATGCCCTGGGCTCCTGGGGGTGCCTTGGAGGTGAGGCTTTGGGACCCATCCCATTTTCAAACATTGCAACTCTGCCTGGATCTGTTTTATAGGCTTTATTTCCAAGTGAGGGTTCTTATGTAAAAAGGGTTCTGTTAAGAACAAAACCAGTTTAACAGCCACCAAGATGGGTAATCCCTAAGACTCCTTTCAGCTCTCAAAGGAGCTATTCTTTTCTTTCCCAACTGAGTTCAAAATGCAGAAGATTTACCCTTAAGGCTGCCTACTCTAATCTCCTCTAACAGTAATTCGCTG